GAGGTCAAGTTCTACCGACGCAATCTCACAACACCATCTTCACATAAGGAAGATTGCTATGATTTGACTTTACATTCAACACTTAGCAGCAGTTGATCTAGTCAGCATCTCTCAACGCAAATGTAAAGATTATACTATATTACCAATCATTTCCATAAGTGTAAAAAGAACAAAAAGAACTGAACATGTCAAAGAAGAACACAAGAGTATCAATAAAACGGAATAATTACCTCAAATGTTGCTTGGATACATGAAGACTCTTACCCTTGCTCCCTGCACATAGATTAATTTTCAATTTTCAAATGACTCAGAAAGCCTCAGCCAAAGCTATGTAAAAGTGTTCATCAATTCTATTTCACAACAATCACCATAGATTTGGGCGGCAAATTTGACTTGAATTTGGCACGGACAATCCCACTGTTACCATGAGGGCGGGTAACCTTCCCCCAAATGCAGCGGTAGTGGCTTCCGTTCTTCTTCACCTTGGCCTTGTAAATGTATGCCATGCGCTTGCCACTGTACCATGCAACCTCTTCCTTGGAGTTCACTCCCTCAATCTGGATAAGTGATGTATTTGGGTATTGGTTTGACTTGGACCTGGACAACATTATCAAATTATCAGCTTAAAAAACAAAAATCCAAACTAATCAATATCCACTGAACCAAATCTTTCACTGGATACTCTTAAGGAAATCTTCAATGTAATAAAACGCATTATACGAGGGGGGAAAAATGACAATTTAGTTTGAGAAGAGTAAAATACCTCTTGTATCCAAGGATTGACCCTCGAACATAGAGTCTGGTATAAAAGGAAAAACAATCAAAACATTAGCATCAGGAAAAATGAAAACAAATAAGAAAGTTCAGACCAAGAACATAATATGCATAAATAAATCTGTGAAATAGTCAAGCTCCTATGTATACCCAGAAATAATCAAACACGCAATTATGCAACCTTATAAGCTGCAAACTTGCAATATATACCACGAAAGCTTGTTCTTTCCAGTTATTGTTAATATAATACCAAGGTCTAAATAAATGTGTGTATATTTTTATTCCACTTTATTTAAACAAATGGATACCAAATTGTAAACATATATGCAATTTTATATACCAAATGATGCATTTCCCATAAGAATAATCCAACAGATCAAATTTCTGTAAACATCATCAAATGGTTCTATCATCAGCTGCTAATTTCTGTAAAAAGGCCTAATTAAAGTTAATCGACTTCTATACTTGGCCACAATGATGCAAGAGCTTACAAACCAATGCAAAATAAGTACATAACGTTCAAAGCAATATCTGTGAATCATCTGTAATGATGTCTCCACGTAACGGAAAAACAGAACCCGAGAACTGCACAGGCAACGTACTACTATAATCAACATAAGGTAAAACCAAGTGGAGAGCTCACGGCCGCAGCTCAAAAGACCAAATTCACTCAAAAATGAATCTTTATGAGCAACCCGTAGAACTGAGCTGCAGCAGCTATGGTTTAAGACTCAGGTAAAAGGAGATTAGTAATTAGATCACAGACCTAACTCGCTCTCCTTGGCGTCCCTTCACCATCTTCGGCTGGTTGGCTACGCTCCCCAGTTGATGTAGAAGCGGAGATCGGCGGAGAGCTGGGGATCGAGGGTTTTTATCAAACGGAGAGTTTAAAGCACAGGTTGTTTTCATAACTGGGCTCTCGTCTATTTGGGCTTCGGTCCACTTCGCTGTTTTTAGGGCCCATTAATCCAGCTTGGTAATGCAATTTGGATTAACTTTAATTAGGCCTTTTTATTATCTTCCCCCCCTCCCCCAAAAGCTAACGTGTTTAAACGGATCAAATGAAGTTTGATGAATGACTCGTGCTTTAAGATTTTTATTTCATTCACGTATCAATATATAAATTGGTGACAATTTCCCCTCTTTGATGCTTTACCATGTTCTTAATGGCACATTTGGCTTACGCGATTTCAAAAAAGAAAGGTACATAAAAAGTAAGGCAGTGTAATTATTCAGGCAAAAAAAAAAAGCAATGTAATATTAAAAATCTTATACTCCTCCGGTTCTTAATATAGGACCAATTCTTGAGTTGGTTTTGGTCCTAAATATAAGACTCATTTCTCATATTTATCATTTTTCTCTAAATTACCCTTATGGATACTCCCTCAACCATAATCAAGTAGAAGAGAGAGAGAGGGTATTAAGAAAGATGATTATGGTATTTTAAGAAAAATGTGTCACTTTTCTTATAATTAACTAACTTACCTAACTTCTTTAATTTAATCAAATTAGTTAAATGGGTCTTATATTAAGGACCGGAGGAGTAACAAATAAGTATCATAAACCTTTTTTTTTTTAATATCAAAAGCTGCTTGCTTGGTTGTGAGATTTTTTTTATAATTATTTTTTTAAAGACAGTGGTCTTCTACCAAAAAGAGATTAAATTAGTATTCCTCTCATACTCATCCCGCACATCCTCCCAGACGTGGTTCATGCAATGATGTGCTTATTTGGAGACATTTATATAAGTATTTATGAATATATTTTACGTAAATCAAAATAAAATTTTTTTACATGTTATATTTAGTAAATCACAATTAAAATACTGTTTATAATTTATTTCACAGATGATCGATTGTGTGAAAATTTGAAATGGCGCGATAACAAAATTAACGACAAAGAAAATGTTTGCCCCGTTCAGGCTGCCAAAAATAGGAAACGGTGAGGAAATGAATCAGACTGTGCTCTTCGCTCCGCTCTGTCGTTTCTCTGTTTTTCTTATTTCCTCTGTCCTTCCCGCCGTTTGGTCCAACAGAAGTGAAGCGCATCAGCACCATTTTCTTTATCAGCTTATCTCTCCCGTTATCTGCCCTCTCAATCTTCTGACCTGATCTACCTTTCTATTACGGTTTATATTTGGGTTTCCACATTTTAGCTTTCTCTTCGTAAGTTTTTTTTCTTTTCGCTTTCCCATTTGTTCCTGCTCTAAAGTAGACTTCTTGTTCGACGTCTGCATTGTTGGGTATTGATTTTTTTGGTTAGATCTGGGAATCCTACTTATATATACTAAAGTTTTCTTTCGATTCATTGCTGTATTTCAAAGTTTGGCATTAATACCTTCATTATTCTATTGGAAATCCTTTTTTGATCGTATTCTGTTGTAGTAAGGTTTGGCTGCATCAATATCCAAAATTTTAGCACCTGAATCTTCGATTGGCTTCATTGTGTGTTCTCACAAGCAACTTAGATTATAGACGCCCATTAAGGGCGGGCATAGGGGTGGATGTCTGTTTGTCGATAGTTTTAGTACTTCAAACTTAATTAGATCGTGCATTAGTGTGTACATATTCTCGAAAGTTTATCCATGTGAACTTTCAAAAATCATGCTTTCTGCTCTATTGTTATGGTGCTCCAACTGATGGTGGATAAAATATATGATTTTACCAACCTTGGGTTGACCCTTATCCTTCTTAGTTTTACAGCTGCCTGCCATACTACATTACAATGACAGGCGAACATATTGATTAACTGGTGCTTGAAAAGCCATGGTTTGGTTCTGTTCGACATTTATAATGCCGTGACAATGTCTTGTTTCCAATTCTTATGATGTCCCACAATCAGCAAGGTTCTTTAAAATGCTGTTGCAGACCGGTGTTAGAACGGTGATGTGATATATTCGTAGCATTGGAATTAGAAGCACAGCTCAGATTTAGGAAATGGTGTTTGATTTTATGAACTAAAGCAAGGCCTCCCAAGGCATAAGGCATCAAGAGTTAAAACCCTTGAGATACAGTTTGAGATTGAGACAATCGAAGGTTTAAGGATGATTGTAGCTGGCTGTCTTGCAGATAACTTTATATGATGTGTCCTTGTCTTTTTCCCCCCTTCTACTTCTGTTATCAATTGAATTATCTTTACAAATGATAGAGAAAGTGCGAATTACTTGTATAATGAATTGATTTTTTACGTCAGATTAGATTTCTTGATAATGCAGGGATATGGGTCTGTGGACATTGCTTGAGGGGCTATTACTTCTTGCAAATGCGCTAGCAATCCTAAATGAGGATCGCTTCCTTGCTCCCAGAGGATGGAGCTTCTCAGATTTTTCAGGCGGCAAGACAAAATCATTTAAAGGCCAGTTTATAGGTCTCATTTATGCAACACAGTACTTGAGGGTTCCTCTAATACTTCTCAACTCAATCTTCATAATTGTAAAGTTGGTTTCTGGATGATAACTAGGATGGTAAGATGTCAACTCTGACCTGCTCTTGTGAGAGAACACCTTGATGAAATAATTTCTAGAATATTTCAGGTTCCTTCTCAACTTTTAGAATTTGAAAATTGGCAGGTCGGTGGATGAAGGTAGTATCCAACAGCTAGAACAGTCGGCAAAGCCTGGCATCCATCTAAAGCCCCTCTGCTTCCTTCCTGCCTTTTTCTTGCGCGGTACAAAGAAAAAGAAGCTACGAGGGAAATGAAAGTGCATTACATTTTACACTATTTCGTTTTCTGGATGAATGATTGCAGGCCAATGATTCCTATACGGATTATTTTAGCAACTATTTCTTGGGTAGTAAAGTTTGACAATTTTTTTCTGTAGAAAATACCCATCGACGTATTTGTCCTTCTTGGGCCGCGATCCGATTGTTCTTTATGAATTATGTGCATAAAACCATTTCGCCCAGCCATAGCAACATTAACATTCATGTAATAAGAGCATTGCGACTTCATCTGGCTCTTGTATGTGTTAGCTATGAAGCTGTCCATCACTGATGATGCTAAGGTAAAACTCACCGGTGGCCTATAAGAAAGTATACACGTTGAAAATGCATTGGATTTATCTTCACTTTTTTATAGTAACTTTTAAGTGAAGTTATGTTTACTGTTTTCAGACAATAACCTCTTCGATCCTAGAGGAACACAACAATCATACGATCTTTTGATAGGTAATACCCGTTTTATTCCTTAATAAAGGCCTATTTAAAGCACAAAGCGCGGCCACTACATTTGCATTTGCTTAGAGAATAAATTGGATTTAATCATAAATCAGCAAAAAGGCTGTACGTTTTGGAATCAACAGCGATGAGCCGTAGTGCTGCAATTGCGGCAGCAACAGACATGATGCCAAAGAAACAAACATTAAGCCAGTGCCAGAGCTTTTGTAAGGACGTTAGTTTGTTCTTCTTTGCCACTAAATACATATGATTCGCCAGTATAAATGTCAGCGGAAATGTGCTGATAGCTCCTGTGAGGCTCATGAAATCTCCAAGGAAAGGAAGGAGAGCAGACACAAATGTATTGAAGGCCAAGTAGCCACCCCTTACCAAAACTCGAAATGACAAGTTCTTCAGAGCCAACGGACTTCCTGTGATCCCGTATTTAGTATCCAAAAACTCATACATTGGACTTGCAAATATCTGAAAGAAGCAGAAGAACGACTGAGTTCAGTGAAATTGTTCAAGGAAATGTTTAAAATCAACAAGCATTCTAGTTTAGATGTGAGTACATGCAATGCGATGACTGACTGCAAAAAGGCAGCAATGTTGGCAGTGGCTTTCAACCAGACTGGACCATGCACATTACTCAGCAAATAGGATGATGTGGAAGATCCATAAGCCCAATACCCTGTAAATGTTACCAAATAAAGAGGTAGACCTCCAACTGTAAACTGGAAATATAGAGCTTTCATCATGTTTTTGACTACCGGCTGCCTGATAGTTGCCTGTTTGTGTCACACCATTTAAGTGTTAATTTTCAGAGTACACAACAACAGAGATTGATATATCTGCATTAGGCTTTGAAATGGATCATGGGCTCCTATTTTACCTGTATCTCGGGAAGCATCCCTGTATTATATGCAAACACAAGACTAGCAGACGCTCCAATTGTTGTAAATATTTTACTTGTTGTTGAACCGGGGATGCTGTAATCTCGAGCTGGTGATTTCAAGCCTGATGATGCATTGGCGATTAGTTCAAATTCACAACACAAGGGATAAAGCTCCTTCATAGCCATCCTACGGGGTGTAATATGATCCCAAATTATCGAAGAATAGGACTATTTATAAATTTTAAATGAAACAGATAAAAGGAGAATTTGACATTCGTTTGCTAGGCCTCGGATGCTGCTCTATGCTTCACATTTAGCAAAAATATAAGACATCCGTTGCAATATCGTGTACGGTGTCAGGAAAGGTATTTCTGAGAAAGAAAATAAGGGGAAAGATCGCCACATATGCAAATGACAAGGGAGAAAAATAATCACAATGAAGTAAATTTGAAATGAATTTATCTGCAAGCTTTAAAAGGTTGTCCGAGGAGCCTTAAGTCGAGAAGGGGAATAAAAGAAATGTTCAACGTAGTACCGCCAGGAATTTTAGGCGAGGACCAAGCATTCAAAATTTTCTACAAGCATATGGCATATTTACAGAACGCTTAGCCATGGATATTGATGAACTCATATCCAAACGAAAAAATCAATACTTGAATGAATATAAGCGTCAATTTCAGATAATGCATTGATAGCTATAGTCACTCTCACCGAAGAAGCCTGAAGCAGTCAGGAAAGGACATTTTATTTCCTCAGGAAATGCAGAGAATAACAGACTTTTACATGGAAAGTTCTTTAGGCAGAGACATGAGTGGTTACCGTCTTTAAGCGACAACGCAAAAGCTGTTACAATATATATTAGGCTGAAGACTGTTGAAAATCCCAGCCAAATTCTCAGAGCTGAAAGATGGGGGATGCATACAGCAAACATTGCACACACGAATCCAGCTATGGCAATAAAATATGGAAGCTTCATTTGATGATCATCCCTAAACAGAACATAGACGGCCTGCACCACAATGCACAGAAAAGATTTGAGGGGGGAAATTGTTTCAGCACGAATGCTCAACACAAAATCACACAAGCTTATTAAAAGGGGGCCTTAACAAAATAAAAAACGACAAAGAATAGGTATGTCGATCATAGTTTTTAGCTCATAGAACATCAGAATGATTCCACAAATATTGGATATGCAAGAAGATTTTACAACTTGTTCAAAGACTTGAGATTATTAAAGTCCCATAAATTGAAATTAATAAAAAGAACAAATGCCTACAGATTTGCTTGGGATCAATATGTAAATGAAAAGAAAGGCCGATAAACTGTAGTTGGTTCGTAAACAGGAAAATGAGATTAGTTATCCAATACTCGAAGGAAACTATGAAGTTCTTCTGCAAAGATTGAGACATCTCTCCCAGAGAAGTCATCAAAGTGTCCAAAAATTAATTAATGAGAATGGATAGGAAAGATGGACTTGCTTCCCAAAATTGCATCACCTTTAGTGCTGAACCAGCCAAAATGATGTAGCCAGTATTTATCATGAAAAGATTGATATACTGCAGCGCCCATGTAAGAGAATATGCCTTTCCACCTGCAACGAGAATGCGAACAACAAATTACGACGCTGAGACGAACACGAGGAGGAGTCTACTTGTTTTTCACTTCTATTACCACATTTCAACTTACCATAGGCGTAGATATTTTTGTCCCAAAAAACAACATAAAAGAAAAACTTACCGTAGATATATCCAGCAAGATCCCTGTATCTTATATGCCTCCTTCCTCCAAACTCATGGAGCTTGGCAATAAGGGAATTTGCATACAGTGATATCGCAGCAGCAGCAATCAAACCACCACACCATATA